TTTTTCTTATAAAAGACTAAATAAAACAAAAATATTGGTGGTAATTTTTGACTGTGTAACTTTACAAACGGCACCCCATTCTGGTGCTCCAGCTGAGAATGATACCTTGTTCCTGGAGTCTCTTGAGCAAAGCTTCGGCAGTCTGAGCCACACGTCTGAAGCAGAGGCGGCGGCGCAGCTGGGCACACAGGAGCCGCAGGGTCGGGTACTGAGGGGGCTCCTGGAAGTCCTCGCTGTACTCCTCCAGCCACAGGCGGAACACCTGGAGAAWGGGGCTGAGGACGTCGACAGGTGAAGGGTTTAATAAAATAAAAAATAAAACCTGATCTTACGCCATCAAAGCTGAACGAAACTCACCTGTGAGTGCAGACAACGTTGTCCACGTTGGTGAGAGATTCATCTCTGCGGAAGAGGAAGGAAAGGGAAAGACGTCAGCCGAACTGTAAATCACAACAGTGTCATAGTAAAGAGGAACAACGTGGGCAGAAAGTACCCCGTAAACAACAGAAATCCTAAYGGCTCATCCTGTGGAAATGTCCAGCAACACTCTGAATCCCTGCAGGGACCGCCGTGGCCTCGGAGCCAGGTGGGATTAATAATTACCTCCTAAAAACACATGTGCAGTAAATGTCGTCCAATTTAACTGGTTACAGTTTTACAGCAGCTCTTTATTGCCTCAGATGATCCGAGATGATTGTCACAAATAAATCCTGACACAGATTAWTATGGTTGTATAATGTCATGACGACAAAGAGAGAAAAATGGAACATCCTGTCAGGCAAAAAAAAAAAAAAAGGAAAACGCGTTTCCCAGTCTGTGTTGATGTCTTCCACTGAAGCGRATGAAAACCTGCTGCCACCAGCACGACAGGATGAGGGCAGCTGGTTCACTAACAATACATCAGTTCAGTTTTGCTCAGACAGAACCGACAAGGTAGAGATTTTATAAATCACACATTTAAAAAAAACAGTTTCATTGTCCTTTTAGAAACATGAAGGCTTTAAAAAAAAAACTACTGAGTGAAATTAAATCAGGTGTGTGCAGAAGCATTGGAGCAGGGTGTGGTTACACAAGTCTTTGCAAAAAGGAACAAAGCTTTTGAAAAGGCTTTGTTGTGTTCGTGACGATAAAACCTGCCACAAAAACCTGCCACAAAAACCTGCCGGGCGTCAAGAGGTTTTTGAACCACCGAGTCGACACAGGAACACCGCTAAAACCCCGCCTGGAAGTTAAAGTTAATTTGTGCTGCTGACGCATTAATCAGTGTCAAAATATTTAGGGCGCCAATAATGTCGCTTTCATACCCGTCAGTGTTGTGATAAGAAGAAATATTGGGCTGTAAGGTAAAAGGCTGACTGGTTGAGCTGGTTAATGTTGATTAGCTGTGGTAATCTTCTTGAACTTAATTAAAACCAGTGTTGTATAAAGTACTGAAAAGTGATACTTGAGTAAAACTACAAGTATCTTATCATAAAAATACTTTGGTAAAAGTTAAAGTC